AAATTCTCAATATACAGAAGTAGTATTCTTGCGTGATACAATGCAAGGAGGTCAAAAATGTGCCACCCTGGGACAGTATTTGACCTTGAGAATTTATGAATTGAACTGATGAAGCATATAGAAAAAGCAACTCAGCTTGCCACCGTAAACTCGTGAAAGTATGCGATGGTAGTAGGGTCATGACAAAGTAAAAAGGCTCTCGAATTTCGATGTACGATTATTCTGTTGCGTATGCCGCTGCACTATCGGAACGCTTACCTGTCCGTGGATTCCTAATACAGACTATCATGTAGAAGAAACGTATTAAATGGAAAACCTCACAACAAACGACATTTTCTGCATTTCAGTTGGAACATTTAGGCATTGTTAACCTGGGGTAGGATTGGAACGCAAAGGTGCATTGAAAGAAACCCTCGCAGATATCTGCTAACTTTTATTTCCTAAGTTTAGATGACTTGTTGACAAACGACTGACACCAATATTTTGAAACAAACTAAGCTAAGAGTCGCTCATGACTGTTGTACATTTTTCTGTAGGCATGAGAAAACAGTCACAGAACACAGGATATGCAACTAAAGCATCATTTGTTGAGATGTGTATACCTTATATGTCTAACCAAAGCAATTAATTCTTCACCGCGATTGTTTAGCAAGGTTTATTTAGATTCTTTATTTTATAAAACGGACTCCTTCTCACTCACCTGGAGTTCGACTACTGGTCGATTTGTCGTTCGAGCGCTCTTGCAGTTTGACTAGTTCCCGCTCGTTTCTTCTCACAAAACGAACAATTTCGAAGTAACAAAGAGTAATCACCATCACGGGTAACGCAAATCCAAATATGTACAGACCGGTATTAAAAATGAGATTAGGCCAGTCTCTCGAGATGTAGTCAAAACTACATGAAGTGTGAAATCCTTCAAGAACGTAGCGACCTGTAAAATGAAAACGATAATTTATAACCCAGATCATGATAAACAACGCCTTGAATTTTTTCAGACATCAGAAGATGATGTAGTGACGTTTTTCAGTAGTTTCATAAATTCATTCAACGTTTGAAAGATCACGTATTCCGTGCTTTCAGCTGATAGACAACATAATGAGAGAAAAAACATGCGTTTAATAGTTAATGTGACTACTGCAAATGCAAGATACGACAGTCTGCCCAAAATCCATCCGACTGTTGAGAAATGTGCACAAAAATTACCTCGGAACCGCGAAAACGGGCTCATTCAATGTTTTGAATCCCTTTTTGAATATAAAGAAACCAGTGAGTAAAAATTCATTTCCTAAGGAAAATATCCTCACACAAACGGTCTAGAGATGAGCTGCGTTCAGTTTCTGACACAAAGCTGTACTTTCTCACCTACCTTCTGTATCCACTCATGAAATTCTGTTTAAAATGGCTCAATGACGTAACTAGATAAAACTATAAAAGGTAATCATTGGTTACTTCACTGCGGCTTGCATCGTGTCAAATTTAGTCTCAACAATAAATCAACCAAAAGTCTGTGCTTCCGAACTACATTACAACCAAAGGAGATTTTCCAACGTTGCATTGTTGTAGCTTTACGTTTGTATGTACTTTGTCGAATCACCACTGTTTGGAACATCGACGGGAATAGCGTGCATTTGTGCTTTTTATTTGGTCGAAATCTGGGATCGTTCGTCCTGCTAGGGTTCTTCAAATTAAAGAATGGACTGTATGTATTTTGAAGCTTTTCCTGGGTGGAAAACCATTCCCGAGGCGGGCTATTGCTTTCAGATGAAAATATCAATATGTATGTATGTAGAAATGCATAGTTTCACTCCGTATTTGTTTTCTGGTTCAAGTGTCTTTCACGCAGAATGGCAACTTGTTTTAGCAGATGCTCGAACAATACGTGCAGAACAACGCTTTTGGGTTAATATTACCCATTTAATGCAGAAAGAAAACACTGTAAAATAAAACTACAGGGATTATTGCATTTATTTAGCGATTTATTTCCGGGATGAAGTTGGGTTAATATAAGAATCAAGTAACTTTTTTCGTAATGAACGCATGTTTCGTGATATTCCGATATTTGAGCTTGTGGATTATTGTCACGTTGATCTATTTGGTAAATTTGACGAATTAACACCGGTTCAAAATAACCATCTGTTCATCATGCAAACTTACCAATACCGAACAAAGGCGGGGATGGCCAAATTGCGGCCCAAATCCATATGAATGCAATTGTGACCCATGCTCTTCGATGATTAAGCTGCATTCGAGGTTCTACGTACCAAACTATTGTAAAATAGCGTTCCAGGGAAATCATAACCATTGTGGTCAATGAGGCAAAACCGAACAGACCACCGCTGAACCCGTAAAGATCGCATGCTGAAGGAAACCAGAAGAAATATTGAATATTTTCATATATTCGATCTTGTTTAATGCATACCATGGGCATTTTTTAACGATACTGGAAGATGAACACATTCCAGAAGAGTTTAATTCATTGCCAGCCCTTTTAGATCAAATGCAACGAAATGTACTCGGGGTTTCAGAACAAAAGGAGTTTTAGGGATTTTTGCAGATCTAAGTAGCATAGGGTGTGTGTTACTTTGGAAGTGTTTGGGTTAAGAATAGATGAAACTAAGATGAGGGCTATTGTATGTGATGTTAAATAGGTTCACTAATGCCCTTGTTGTATTTACGCTTGACCAAAGCAGGTTTGGTGTAATGCCTGACAAAGGTTCTGATACGGATAGTGAAACTACGGATCGAAAAAATCGCCTCTGACGTAGCCTCATTCCGGCTACTGTAGATCGATTACAGGATAAATCAAATCCTTCTCGCGGTCAATTCACGATCACGGTCGCTCTGATGACCTGTGAAAGATTTAGATACCGGACCCGAATTTAAATGACCACTTAATTCTGAGTGAGGAATTAGCGTACTTCATTTTTTCTTTCCCTTTAAAAGTTCAATAAAAAATATCAATCTAATGTCGACGATGTTAGCTTTGATATCACTATTACTGAACTGCATTTTTCTGAACGTTGTAAATGAGTGGAAGCAAGGCAATCTGATCATTCGAAATGTTTAGTTGAACGCTTCCTCCATTGAATGAGCGCGTTCACCTGATCGTAGCTACCTGTTTGAAGATAATATATTACGTTTTATTCCTGAGAATTTGCAGTTGCACTTATTCATTTGCTTGGCTGATTGCCAGAACATCGAAAAGCAAATCTTCTGTTTGACTTTCTATTTGAACTTCACGACTAGAGAGCACCGTTAACGTTCCGGATTCTCTGAATGATAACGGCTTATCGAGCAGATTTTGGTTTTAATTTACTAAGAATAATGTCATGCAATATTGGTCGTTACAGTTATCTGGTGATGAAAGCATCGGTTTGAACAACCGTGGAAAAGAAACTGTTGGTCAAATATATAATGTAAAAGTAATTGATTCAAAATTCACAAAATATACAAATGCATCTTAAGAATACCTGCATTTTTCCCCAGGCATTTAGATCACTTTTTTTCAAGGATACACTTATGAGAAGGGTTAAAATTACGTAAAACACGGAAAATGTGACTTCGTTTGCTGGTGGGTATGACCTTCATAAGACGTCTATACATCAATTAGTTGTGAAGTGATAAATCGATCTTTCAGTGATGATGATCGCCCAAATGGATTATTGTTTTGAAATGTCTTCAACAGTTGCTGATTTAACTCGAGACCGAGATTTTTCAGCTCTAGTGTTCCAAGGTCCACTTAGAATGTCACATCAAAAGTAAGACTGTTAGCTGAATGACTTGCCAAGTTTTCCCCAACCCCAGCGTAGATTGAAAGATGCAATGGATTTCAGCGGGAATCCGTTGAGTGCGGAAAATGATAAATCTGAAACAGCCAAATTGATGATCAACATATTCTGTGGTGTTCGTAGCGATTTCACCCTGAAAAGGATGAAAACAGCAAGTACATGAATCGAATTTCGTTCCATCCCGAAAAAGATGGGTTTTAATTACAGATGCATCATGTGGTTGTACTCTGTCAGATTGGGGAGTGGCGCACACTTTATTTCTCTAACTGGAGAAAAACTCCAGAAAAACACTTACGGATGTCTCAGATATTGCGGTAGGTTATCCTCAATTTTGGTTGCCGCTGTCAACAGTCTAGTTCGAAGGTGAGATTTTTTTCAGATATACACAATTTTTACAATTTTGACGACCCCCACAGGTAACGGAACAGCTGTCAAATATTGTACTGTTGCTCATCAAACATTATTATATCCAAAACATATGGAAGAAGTGATAGGAGAACTACAACAGAAAGCAAAACAGTACGTCATTAATTCCCTTTTTACTGAAAAAAACTTTTGGATGGAAAGCTGCATTTTATCCAACATTTTGCCTGTTACCACTATCTTTGATGGTAGTAGTCGTGGCTTGATGATAACGTCATTTTATTATCAACCCGAGAATGTGCATGGTTACACCACTACCACCTGATTTTCCCTACGGTGTGTTGAATGGCAGTCCTTTGTTTGATTGGTCGCTTCGCCCTTCCTGAAAATTGCACTTTTTGTATTCAATAAAAAGAAAGCAAAATGCAAAAAAAAACAAAGTGAAGAAACATAACGGAACAAGAAACCGAGTTTGTTGAACTGCATCTAAATCTAGCTTGTCGTCGGTAACCATATTGTCTAAAAACTATTCATTAACTCATCAATTTAATTGTCCAAGATAAACGGACAGCCCATGTCCTTGGAAGTCCCAAATAAAATCACATAGCCGTTGTTTACCAAGTTAGGTGTTTCTGTTGTTTGCGTGCAAGCTAAAATGAGCCGGAAAAGGTACTGTTTTTATCATCCAGTTTGTTGGACTTTAGCTTCAACATTGCTGAGTTCAGATGATGTTACCATGCAAATCATCATTTTAATGGAAATGAGTTTGTAACGTCGTTGGTCAGGTCTAACTTGTGATAATTTGAGCTAATCCAGGTGTGTTTTTGGCTTTGCAGTTTCTAAGTGGACTCCGTTTTGCATGAATACATTTACTCGTTCTAATCTACAACGGTTTGTTAGACTGACAGTAACATGGATTCGGGTTTTGCTTTGAGATGTTTCGATAACCAGAAATTTTGTGAAACATTTATTTTATTTTATTAGTTTGATCAACCACATGCTCTGAAAGATATATATTGATGACAGGGCCAAAGGTATTTCAGTTGATGCCTTGCTGGGTCCCAGGAAATAGATATAGTGACGGGAAGAATTATTCATGAAAAATACTCCCAACAGTGATTTGAGAAAAACAGGACACCTCTCCAACGATAATTGTTCATTTTTCTTCACTGAGTGATGGCTTCAACGGGATTCAGGCAGATGCGTGTGTAAAAGTTGCCTTTGGTGACCATACGAAACTTATTCATCTTTTATTTACCTTCAATCTACCGAGTTGTAGGTAAAGCGATTAGGAAATCAATTTAGAGTTTCGGTCTCGCTAGAGCATGCCGGCTACAAATGGGTTATTCCAGATTTTTAAAGCTAAGCTGTTCCTTAAGTGCTAACGGAAACAGTCAATGTGATTGATTTCTGAACCGTCTTCAACCTCTCCATTCGGGTAGGCTTTTTGACTCAACCAGACACAAAAGGTTATTAGCAGCGAAATATATGCCTATATGGACAAATGGAAGATTATCTTTCCATAAAAATTAGCATTCTCTGTTCCAATTATGAATTCCACTCTAAGAATATGTATCAAACCGGACAAAGTTCACTCTTATGGTCACAATCTTTTCACCGTCGATTATAATCATATTTTCTCGAATCGTTTACAACCAGGCCCCTCACGTTTTATGAGCCTTTTGTTCTTAGCTGTAAGACTGAATCACATAGCGTCATTTCTAATAGAAAAGCACTTTGCACATGAAGGAATAGCTTTAAAGAGTCTTTTCTGACTTTGTTGGGCAATTCATGAGAATAATGTTGTATATGGTCACTGGACTATCTCAACTTTTAATCTGAGAAATGTACCTGAAGGTCAACTTGTGCTTCTAAATGAATCAACCATTCAGATTGTACTCAGCATCCTATCACTCCATCACTACCTTTGGTGTCACACATGGTAATTAGTATATTGGGTTAACCCAACACAAGTCAATCGTAATCAATCGTCATCCCAATTTAAACCATGAGTGGGAGCGAAAGGAGGTGCATTTGTTGTACGTATGTTTGTCCATGGTTTGCAGCCTCGATAAAATCACTCATGGAAGGCCGATCGATCAATCCATGGAACGTGCGTATGGCGTCACATTGACCTCTGTCAATCATTCCTAATGTATATTGTAATCACCAGAGGAAAATAACTGAAATTCAGTTCTTGCACCGCTCTCAATAATGAGATCCCGGTGATCAGGATTGCAAAATAGGTCGTTTAGGATCTGCGTACGACTGCAAAAGCTTGATTTATTTCAATGAAAGAATTACCGTACATTATTATTCTGTTCATTAGATGAACATTTTGCAGTCAAGCATTTGTAAAAATACCGATGATTATTTTCAAAAAGGATTAGGAAAGGGTTGCTAGCAATGTATAACAAATATAGTATAAATACAAGTTATTCGATAAAATCGCCCAACTTGTTTCAGAGATGTAAGATCTAACAATGTGTCTGTGTGGAACACATCAGCATGCGGGTGGAGAAAATGATTCACGAATTCCACTTTTTCTTCTGTGTGTCTATGAGCGGTATGGTAAGTTTAGGGAGAAAAATGGTAAGATGAACCACTTTATGTATTCACAACTCCATGCGATCGGTACGGATTTCAAATCTTGGACGGAACGGTGGATAAGCACTACTGATGAGTTCTAATAAGAGCGAAACACGAGTCCAGTGGTTCCTACTGTATGGTTGAACCGATGAACTGATGATTTTGCCTGAAGGTCAAGTTCGAAGGATAGTCAGCTCAAATCATTAAAAATATATATATTTTATATCAGTGATTATTCATAGGCTCTATTCGCCATTTTGCATAACATCTTATTGTCTCTTTCATTTGCTCACTTGAACAAAGCAACAAACTGCAAACTACATCGCTTACCCACGCAGCGATTTAATCTAATGTTTAACGGAATCACGCTTAGAATTATAAAATTTATAAAATATCAGCCAATTCAAAAATGAGCAAACCGGTCGTCTTTCTGATTAATTGTTGAGAATGTGATCGCTAGATTGGGGTATGTTCTGTGTGCCATTAGTGAACATCTGCAACTACCCGCTGAGTTAAACTGATCAAATCGCTGGAAAATATTGGGACAAATTAAATAATAATTACTGAATGAGTTATTCTGTAAGATAAGATCTGAGGGCGCACAATGCCTCACGTTCTAGGACTTGTGAATGTGCAAATATGGAAATATGGAAATATGGAATTAATAATAGCGTAGTTGAGGTGGACA